AAAGCTGTGAGCTGTGCTTTGATTCCTTCCCTATTTTCTTTCTTCTCGGACTTTTTCATTGGTCAAATCTTCTTTAAACAAACATTATCACAATCTAAATCTTAAATTGTGAAATTAATGAAAACGTACCTTCTTTTTGCCAAGAATTTGATTGAGAAGGCGAAATTCCATCTGCAGTGAAATCTAAGGAAATGCCCCTCATTCTTTGTTTTTCTTTGTTGGCTGGCCGGTATAGAGATCTGAACCTGTGACCTTGGTGTCATCAGCACTGCGCTCTCCCAAGTTAGCTAACTGGCCAGCCCTACTCCAATATTCCTTCTTTTTGTGCTAATTTGATTAAGATGCCCATAGTGACTGCTGAAAGCTTCCTCTACTGAAAGCTTATTTGGTACTAAGCAATTAATTGCTCCTTGTAGACTCATGATAGAACACTGGAGCTGGCCACTCAGGAAGAGACTTTATTCCTGGAAATCTTTTTAAAACTTTTTAAATCTAATTTAAAAAATAGGGCTGTAAAGTTAGTGTTACATACTATTTGGAACTAAGCAAGAATAGAGAAATTAATGGAACAAAATAGGCCTATTCTATGAGAGTTTAAGAAATGATAAGAGTGGGCCGAGCCCGTGGCGCACTCGGGAGAGTGCGGTGCTGGGAGTGCAGCAGTGCTCCTGCTGCGGGTTTGGATCCTATATAGGGATGACCGGTGCGCTCACAGCGCTCACTGGCTGAGCGCGGTGCGGCCGGTCTCAAAAAGGACGAAAAAAAAAAAGAAAGAAAAAAAAAAAAGAAATGATAAGAGTGGCCTTGTAAATTGATAAAGAAAGGCTTATTCATTAAACAGAATAGAGATAATTTAGTTTGGAAAAAAATGATTTTGATTAACATAACAAAATAAATTAAGGATGTATTAATGAATAAAATATCTTCAAAACAAACCAAGAAAATCCAGAAGGAAATACAATTAAATATTTATTAAACCTCTAAAAGGAGATAGATTTTTTAGGCAAAAAAAGAAGAGATTAAATGAATCACAAAGGAAAAGATTAACATATTTTCATATAAAAAAGTTGGGTGAAAAATTCCACATGACCAAAACTAAAATGCAAATAAACTATATGGGAAAAGCATACTTGCAGGAAAACTGACAAATAGTTAATATCTGTTCTATATAGAGCTCATCCAAAATAATAAGAAAATCAGTAGGATCCCGAAAGATAAATAGACAAAGAACATACACAAATATACCAAAGAAAAATGCAGTTAGCACATTAAAGAATAAAGAAATGTCAATGTTGTAAGAGGAAGGAAGCAAAGTAACTTATATTGAATGCCTACTGAATATCAGGCCTCTGTTGGGTGCTTTATATACCTTTATCTCATTTAGTTCATCAGCTAATTTTAAAGAGAGGCTTTGTAACTATATAGTATCATGAAATGTGAGTCCTGGAAGTACCATTAGAAAACAGAAAGTGGTTCTTTTATTTTATTGATATTTCTTCTTTTAGTGAATAGTTAATACATTCATATGGTTCACAATTTAAGGCATTTGAAAGGTATACAATGAAAAGTCTTCCTCTCACCCCTGTTCCTATACTTCTCTCCTATGGAACAACCATTGTTAATCAGTTTCTTGCATATTCTTCCAGAACTATTCTATGCCTATACAAGCAGAATAGTTCCTTAAAACACACACACATACAAACCAGCATGCTATACCAACTATTCTACACCTTGATTTTTATGCTTAAAAATACATATATATCTGTCTGAAGGAAACTTCCATATCAGTAAAGTTTTTTTACAGTTGCATAGTATTCTCTTGTATGGGTGTACCATAATTGATTTGACCAGCCTCTGTTGGTGGACATTTTGGTTATTTCTAGTATTTTGTGATTACAAACCTGTCACAACATACAATATACTTCACCTAATCTAACTTTCCTTGTACACTGTATTATTGCGCAAGCACGAGTGTATCAGGAGGGTAAATTCCTAGAGTTGGAATCGCTGGGTCCAAAGGTGTGTGTGATTCCACTAGATACTCTAGACTGCTCTCTGTACAGTTGTACCAATTTATACTCCCACCAACTGTGTATGAAAATCTGGAAGTGACTTTTTTCTCTGACTTTCACCAAAGTGAGTCATCAAATTTTTTATCTTTGCTAATCTTTGAGTGAAAAATGTTTCTTCGGTGGAGTTTTAATTTTCCTTTCTCTTATGAGTGAAGAAGCTAAGAATCTTTTTATATATCTAAGAATCATTGTATTTCCTTTTCTTTTTTTTTTTTTTTTTTTTAAAGATGACCGGTAAGGGGATCTTAACCCTTGACTTGGTGTTGTCAGCACCACGCTCAGCCACTGAGCAAACCGGCCATCCCTATATAGGGATCCGAACCCGGGGCCTTGGTGTTATCAGCACCGCACTCTCCCGAGTGAGCCACTGGGCCGGCCCTGTATTTCCTTTTCTATGAACTTTCCATTCTAATCTTTTGCCAGTTTTTCTTTTGAGTTGTTAGTCTTTTTCTCATTGATTTGTAGTATATGTTAGGAAAATGAGTTTTTTTCTATGTTATGAGTTGTAAATTTTTTAACAAGTTTTTTGTTTGCCTTTTGGCTTAAAGAGACTTGTTTTAGAAATGAGATACCGAGGCCCAGAACAGTGTAAGTTCTCATGTAGGAGGCACTCAGTGAGCCAGCGGCAGGGCCAGAGCAAGGCTTAGGTCTTATAACTCCCAGTCCATGTGTCTTGGATTACCAGAAAGCCTCATCTGCAAAGTCAAGGAGTTGAGCCAGGTGACTTTCCACTTGTCTAAGAAGAGAGACCGGATTAGATTCACATCCTTTACCACAAAATTTTTCATAACTGGATGGTATTTATCGAGCACTTATTAGCATTAACAGACTCCATGCACCTTGGGAACACAGACCGGCTCCCCTTCTCAAGTTCGTGGTCTCTGTCATCGGCATCACCAGTCATCTCCTTGTTAGTACCCTTTGTATTTATTTACTCTTCTTTTCTCCTTTCCCCTCACAGCAGTCATTGTCCAAACCTGCTTTTTTCCGACAAAATTCAGAGAGGAGGAACTTCAAACTACTGGATACTAGGAAGCTGAGTCGAGATGGAACTGGGTCACCTTCCAAAACCAGCCCCCCCTCCACTCCCAGCAGCCCAGATGACACTTTCTTTAACCTTGGAGACCCACAGAATGGCAGGAAGAAGAGAAAGATCCCCAAGGTAATGCTTGCAACAAGCTTCATGTTTAGACATGCACTCTCTGTTCTCTGCAAAGACAGGCTGAAGAAGAGTCCAGGCAGAGAACAGATCACTGGGCCATCTTCTGCCTGTGTTGTCACAGACCAAGTGGGCACAGTGGAGCCAGCAGGCTGGGATATCTGGACTTTTGTTCTAATAATTATTGTAGTTCTGTAGCCTTCCTCTTAGCCATCCCTCTCCCAGCCTTAACTACTCTCCTGATCCCAGACAGTGTTTTCAGTGCCTATCCTCAAAAGGTCACTTCCTCCTCCTCCTCCATATCCTTAACTCCATCCATCATGCTCTGGCCTGATACTTCCAGTGCCCACTACAGAGGCAGGTACCAGTCGGTGCTCTGAGGCAGCACTTGTCAAAAATACATCTCCTGGCTCCTTGCAGTCCAAAAGGGTAAAAAACATGCCCAGTGGTTTGGATGTACATCCTTATGTGTCTGTTGTTCATTAAAGCTCAGTTTCAGCCTTACAGTGCAGGTTACTCTTTATTGATCAATCTAGTACTGTAGGGGAAGCAATATTTTTCCTTTTACCTCTTAGGGTCTCCTGCTGGGTCTACGAATTAAACTGACACAAGACAGATTAACAGAAGAAATGCATGTGAATTTTATTTCCATGTACATGGGAGCCCTTGCAAGAAAAATGAAGACCCAAAGGAGTGACTAGGCCTAAGTGCTTAAACACTAAGTTGAACAAAGAGTGGCAATTGTGGAAAAGTAACTAGGAGGATAAGGGTTGGTTTAACAAAGTTTGTTTGTACAGACTTCTCTTGGCCTCAACTCCCCATCTCTGGTGATAAGAATGTTTCTTTCCTCCTGGTATAGGGAGGGCATCTTTTCCCTTTTTTCTTTCTCCCCACCCCCCCTTTTCTTGGGAGTCTGGAATTTATAAGGTACTGCATCTTTTACATGGGAGTTTTATCTCCTGCTTTCAGGAGGGAAAGGGAAGGTCAGAGTGCACCTGCTGTTTTTCAAGTACTTGCAGTTCCAAATAATCAAAGCAGCATATTTTGGGGTGGCATGTTCTGAACTCCTTCAGTACCTACTTCCTCCAGGAACTTTTAGAGCAGGAATTCTTAATTTCAGAGTCCATAGATGGGATTTAGGGGGTCATGAAACCCATAAAACTGTGTAAAACTTTGTGCAGATGAGTTTGGGGGATGAAGGAATGGGATATCGTCTATAGATTATATCAGATTTCTCGAAGTGGCCTATTGACCTGAGAGAAAGTCAAGGGGCATCATCACAAGCCAGTTGCTCCTGACACAGTGTGGTCAGATCAGTGTTTTGAGCCTGATTTCACCCCACCAGCTCCTCCCCAACATTCTTATTCAAGTGAGGTTGAGTCGTGCCTTGACCATCGGTGTGCATATGGAAGGGTAAGGGCAGTTAGGGTCGGGTGAAAGAAGACCTAAAAGCTGCAGCCTGGGAGTTGTATATGGAATAGGGGAGAATTCTCTTTGCTTTGTTTTGTTGATAGAAGGCAGAGAAAGAGGCCAGGGTAGGAGCCCTGCCTCACTCCCCTTTGAGTTCTCCTACAAGTTCTGCCCTGCCCTGCCCAGGGCACAGTGCAGATTGCATATTGATTGTGTAATGATTACTGACTGCACTCCCTCTAATGTGTCGATCCTAGGCTCTTACAGCATGGCACGGGGTCACTCCTGTGTCTCCCTTGGCTGCCTTCCAGAGTCTCTATCCTGCATAGTCATTATACTGCTCATGGGGCCCCAAAGTGTGGGGTCTTGAGTGTCTCCCTTAACTCGCCTTCTGCTTATCCTGGCATGGTTCTTACTTATTTATAATGTCAAAAATCTACAACTATGGAGTAATTAAAAGTGGCTATTAACATCTGTACAGCTTCTGGGCCGAGCCCGTGGCGCACTTGGGAGAGTGCGGCGCTGGGAGCGCAGTAGCGCTCCCACTGAGGGTTCGGATCCTATATAGGGATGGCCGGTGCGCTCACTGGCTGAGTGGTGCGGCCGGTCTCAAAAAGGACAAAAAAAAAAAAAAAAAAAAATCTGTACAGCTTCACCATTATTTTAGAAAATTAAACAGGAATAATCAAATGTATTAGCTGTTAGGTTAACGGAGCTTTGCTACAATTCTGAGTTTGAGTATGTGATCTCTTGAGCCTTTAACCTCTATCTTCCGCCCCCATGCTTTCACCCATCACTTCTATATACGATTTTAACATTTTTAAATGATTTTTTTGAGATTGAGGAAAAGAGAATGTGTTCCTATTTTGTGTGAAAGTAGAGAGGTGGAGAGAAAGGTAAAACTGTTATTGTCACTTTATATGTGTTTAATTTGCAAGTGCAATAGTTTATTTCCTTTTAGTTTATTGCCTGAAATTAAGTGGGTTGCCACCAGGTGAGCACTAGCTCTTTTTCAAACAGGATTTTTTTTTTTAAAGATGGCCGGTAAGGGGATCTCAACCCTTGGCTTGGTGTTGTCAGCACCACGCTCAGCCAGTGAGCGAACCGGCCATCCCTATATGGGATCCGAACCCGGGGCCTTGGTGTTATCAGCACCGCACTCTCCCGAGTGAGCCACGGGCCGGCCCTTCAAACAGGATTTTGACAGGCATGATCAAACCAAAAGAAAAATCAGCATTTTTAACCTGTCACTTTTACAACAACAAAATCTTAGTAAAACTGTTAATCATAAAGATGAAGTGCATAATTTCCTAAAGGAACTTTTAAAATAAATGACTAATTACAGTTTGATAGAAGTCTCATTAATTGTCAATTTTATCACTTGCTACTTAATATTAACCTAGGTTTATCCCCACTCTTGAGTAATGTGTTTCTTTCTTTCAAAATGCTGTGAATCCTCTATTTGAAGTTAAAGGTTCTTTGCCAAGTACATTTATGACTTCCATGTTTTGGAACCTTGACCCATTTGCCATTCCAAACCCTTACTTTTGTGTTTCTATCTAGCAAAAAGGACTTAATTATCTACTTAAAACTGTTCAGACAGGGGCTGGTTGGTTTTCTGCTTCTGCTGTGTGAGGCCCTCCTGTCGACGTGGGTGCTTCCCTTGATCTCACCCTGCTTCAGCCCTGAGAGGAATGAATGTCCCGGAGGATGACGGGCGAGAGAAAAAGCCCTTCTCTGTATTCTCCTAGCAACCTGTACCTCCTTTATCATGGCATCTACAGCGGCAGTTAGTTACACAGTCATGTGATGTTCTCGGATTTGTGAGACACTGTGATATCTTTTATCATGAGAAGCAGCTCTCAAGCATTTTCCTGGCCTGCTCTGACATGCTGCTCCCTCCCAGCACACTTTAGCAGGTGTCTTGTGAAGTCTCTTGTTTCTTAGTAACCACCCCAGGCTGAATTAGATACCAGATCACTCTCTATCTGACACAGACCATCTTTCAGATGGGATCATTTGAAACTTTAAAAAAAATTTCTAAAAGGGCCTGACTGAAAGTTTCTTTCATTATTGAATACTTCTAAAACAACAAAATGTATCTCCTGTTAAAGTATAATTACAGGGGCTGGCTAGTTAGCTCAGTTGGTTAGAGTGCAGTGTTATTAACACCAAGGTTAAGGGTTCGGATCCCTGGACCTGCCAGCCATTGAAAAAAAAAAAA